ATTGCTCGCGGCCTCGTCTCTGTGGGCAACTGCGTTCCGTTCCCGTATGTCAATACGGCACTATCGGCGGGTCTGACACTCCTGGAGCTCATTCAGGTCAGTGAAGAGCCTCTTTATCCTCGTATCCCTGAATCCCCCCTTCAGACGGTGGGGCAATCCGACGAGGATCTGAAATATCTCTCCGAGTCTGTGGTCGCAATCATGAAGCTGCTGCGGGAGGAAGTAGAATCACACCCGACCGAGAGCACACCGTTTCGTAACGTGTGTGAGGAATTCACCAGGTACGCAGTTTATGTGAGATCAATTCCGGTGTTGACGGCCAGCCAGCCATCTAACTCAGCTGTCCAAAGACATAGAGTTGATGTCGAAGAATCGGTCTTCATCGAAGTTGAGAAAATACCTGAACTCGCAGAAGATCAGGGATGAAATCTCTCGTTTTACCCGCCGAGTCACCGATCTCCGGGCTAATGCAACAGTACGTCCAGGCTGGTTCATGATAGGAATGAAACCTGATTTTATGGTAGCTGGTTTCCGCTGCCGGAATGCGCATGGATCTAGCGGGTGTCGAATCCAGAATCTCTGATTTAATTGTGTCCCAAAACTCTTCAAGGACAATGGACTCAACAGATGGTCTGAAGCAGGAACTCGCCCGCCTCGAAGATGATGTGAGGCGTTCCATTTGTCTTTTTACGCATCTTATCTCAAAGCTTCCCTGAAGTTCCATGCCTTGAAACTGGGCGATATTCACCTGGATTTTGGATCAGCTCGGAGCAACGTTGTGAGATATGCTAACGATCGCGAGGAAAAAGAGATCGGTTGGACAGATTACAAGGCTACCGTCAACGGCGGTGTTCGAACGGTCCGCGTTTATCAAGGGTCGGATCCGACAGAGGCAAGTGAGCTCCTTTCGCATGCTTTCCAAGCTGCTCATTCGTTCGTTGTAACGATCAGTCATGGAAGGATTTCTTGTTTTTCCTCGCCGACAACTCACCGTGAGCAGAGATTTGTCTATAGCATCTGTCCGACTAATATCCTGCCAGTTCGGTCTATTTGCCTCAACTGTTTGGGTTTTGCAGCTCCCCGAGATTGAGATGCCTTGTCTTCCATGGAGGTATGATGCTGCTTTCATATATACCGCAAAACCATCCATACATTTCTCATGCAGAATACCGGACTCTGGATGAGTATGGAGCGATACTTCCTTCGGCTCAAGCTATCGTAGACTGGGAACTAAATCTGGTCATTTGTGATACCTAACCCACTTCATGCCATTGACATTCTCGTCACTCAGGTTGCTGACTCAAACCTGCTGGATGAGCATGGCATGATAAGTTTTAGGCAGTATCGGGACTCCGCCATGGTTGATGCACACAACGGAAAACTCATTATTTCGCACATCGAAAGAGGAGAACTGTCTCGGACAACATGGTACTGGGTTCGTTTGTTTCCTGTTTCTGTGCCTGTTATCACCAATGACACACACACTCGTCTGGACAGGACCATCGGTTCTCTGGGTGGTTTGCAATGACCATGCGGCCATTGAGCCTCCATGGCAAGAAGTGTTACCAATTGGCCGCCTCTGAGTGGGATATGTGGACAATGCTCGAGGCTCTTGTGAATCTCGAGCGAGGCAGGAATTACCTGCAGCCGAACCAACAACTCGGTTGTCACAAACTGCTCTTGTCTCTGGGCTGCGTCTATCGTGATGACAGATACGAATCACGACCATTGTTCTGGCCACAATTCAACAAGCCAGTAGCGGCATTAACGGGTAGGGACATCACCCCCGATGCTACTTGGGCTGTTCAGTTTGTGTATTACGAAAGGTCACGGGAAGACTGCTGTCCTAGTGCAGATAATGGGCTTAAACCGGGGTTTACTCAGTACGTGAACGCTATCGCATCCGCGGTTCACCGCGTGTTGATTGCCATAGTTTCTTCGTTCCGCTGAGCCGGACGGTGGTTTCGAACCACGACGGGAAAGTGCACTGCGGATACATCCTTCGCGCTGGAATACAATTTGGGAAATCTGTGCCTGACCTGAAATACGGTTGGTTGGCACAAGCCAGTTCGATCATTCCACTATTAGATGAGCGCGGTCAGGGGGACTTCTACATCCGTGAGTTCCTGTTTTGGGCATCGTCAAAAATTATCTCACCCCCCTGAAGCGACCTTCATCAGCCTCAACCTGAGCTGGGAAATGATACTAGCTGCCGAAGATACTGCGACCACCCCAGAATCCATTGCTCTCCTGGATGATTTACCTGAGAGGATACATGTTTTTGTTCAAGTCCCCCAAATCAAAGAGCACTGTGTCGAGGAACCCCAGATATACTGGTCAACAGATGCCGATGCTGTCGATACTCGAACTGTTCCCCGCGCGGCACTCAAAATCCGGGCGAGCTGGGTGATACAATTTCATACAGTGCATTGGGAGAATCATCACTATGAAGTAGCCGAGGCCACACAGAGGCAGCTTGGATTCGACCCTATGACCAACGCGGCTGCTAAATCTCTAAATCTCCCCCTGTTGGAGGTTCTCGACGTAGAATCCCCGGAACGAGCTGACCCAGGTAAGTTCTATTTGTATCGTGAATTGGTGTTCATCGTCCCTCCATAGAGTCTAATTGGTTGGGATGCCGCTCGAGGGATCCCCACACCCTGCAAATTATACATGATCCGCACGGTACAAAGCCGCATATCTGCCAGTATTGACCAGGCCGATTACCGTGGTGTGATTGGATTCAATGCGGATGAGTGGAAACGGGTCCAACGCAGACGTCCACGTATGGAACACGAATACTGTATGTTGGATTTATATATATCGATGTAATTAAGGTTCGGGTTAGGCGCGCGCATGCGCGAAAAAAAAGGTCCACCGAGCCGAGTGGCCGTGGCAGAACTGGGAAATATTGAGACGATGCATGTGCCGAAGCACATACAAGCCGCAGGCGCACTCTGTGTGGACAGGGTCGCCGTGCCATGGAGTGATCCCACGGCCCACAGACCCAGGGAGGTGAAGGGGCCTATGCAATCAAGGTAAGTATGAGTTGCAATGGAAATGTGGAGGAGGTTTTATACGACGGTTGTGCGCACGGACCATGCCTCGTTGCCGATGCTTGTGGCCATCAGAGGATCATGATGGTTGGTTGCCGCCGTCCGCCGACGTGTGCCGTAAGTTGAAGTTCAACATATTGCCCAAGGTTGAAAATCTTCGCATGTTCGAGTTTGCGGCCTTCGCGCGGACTTGGCAAGTGTCTGAATAATAAGGAAAGTTACATGTAACCGATCGGTTCTATCTCCACAAGTCGCTGGGACTGCGTCATCAACACAACTTGAACACCTTCTGAGGTTGAGGGGTTGAGAATGTTTGTCTATACATATTCCATGCGATTTGCGTATCTATAGAATAATAGTTCCAGCTGCGCCCGTATGGCAGATGAAAAAGAACAATCACTTTCCGATATGCCGCGGCGGGGAGTTGAACCCTGTCTCACCGTTGTACCGTCAGAATTCACCATTGTGTTACTGATGTATGTTCCACACACCCGGCCGGTGTATATAATACACCCTTCTTTTCAAGTCTTCATAGACCCGACTGGGGTGCAAGAAGAAAGATACCCAGCGCAGAACCCCACCGCAGTGGGCAACAACCGATATCTTTCCTCTTCCAGTCTCCTTGCGAGCCTTTTGGCGCCGACCTGGACAAACCATTTGGGAGAACAAAAAAAGAATAATGGACTTCCAGCGTATGCACCGGCGGGGAATTGAACCCCGTGCATCCGGATAATCTTATGCAGTTCATGAATCATATACTAAGGCCCTCCGGGCACCCCTGGTACCTCTTCTCAGACCTGGCCTTGAATACTGTCCACTGTTTGTGTATTGGGGATCACATACACTAATCTATCGGTTTACTTGAACCTGCTCAACGATTTGCCCGGTCGCCGCTTGCGCGTGCGCGCAAGCGTCGACCAGCTCACATTGAGCCGGCGGATGCTAGACAGCTTGTTGCGAGACTGTGTTTGGCTTTCATGGGCGGGAAAATGTTGGTGAATCAAATTAATGCATCATCCCGACATTGATATTTTCTTGGGGGACCCTCCGACGCCCAGTGAGATCATCGGGCTCCCGCTCCGGCGTGCAGTTTCCTATGCATTATTTCCGGCAATATACAGGACAGTTGAGATGCCAGAATGTGTGACAATTCGATTTCAACTTTTACGGATAAGCAGCCCTGGTTGAGACACTGCATTCCCCACCGCTTGCTTCCTTTCAACTTCCTTGGTGGTGGGAAACTCTGGCAGCTGGAGTAAAAATGTCAGCGAGCAGTTGGGTTCATGAGGCTGATCGCTCGCTCGCCATCTTAAGTTGAACTTGAGTTGAATTATATGTAAGCGCCACGTTCAACAGATCTCAGTGTCGCGGGATTCCTTGATTTAAATACTGGCCTTGGTGAGTCTTCATTCTCACATACCGGTTAAAGCGCATAGGTGCGTGAGAGCTGTCGTTGGGATTTATATTTTCTTTCGATTATCTGTGTGCACTGCATTTCCATATAAGGATTGGTTGCCATTTTATTTATTTAATTACTTTAGTTTGTTATGTTATTGATCTGTATGATCGGTTTTTCTGCTTCTCGCTTTTGAGACCTGGTTCCGTAAACGGTACCAGGAATAGGTGCGTGTTTGAGGCACCACCGATGCGTATATCAGATTCATAGCTTACAGATTTGCCTTTCTTTGCTACATGGGAAACAAACGGCGATCCGAGAATGCATCGAACTCGAACCACCTCGTGAGGTTACTTCGGGAAAAGGGAATCCCAGTTGTCGGCGTGCGAACTTCGTTCCCCTTTCAACTCTTGGAATGAAAGTCAACCAGCCATGGACCGGCGGAACAACCGGTGCTCCAGGTTCATCCTCCGCAAGCTTCGAGTCGACCAGCCAATTCTCTTAGTAGCGGGGAAAAACGAAGCAAAAATAATCGGACCGTTGATGCACGCACCGGCGGGGAATCGAACCCCGTCTCACCATCGAACCATTCATGAGTCGCAGGACCTGGCATCAGGTCGATGCGTGTTCCGTACACCACCGGTGCACATACCCTCCCGTTCTCGATCAATTGATTATGGAAACAATATATCCGGTGGGAGGCGAAATAAATCGAACCGTGAAAGTTCAACGCACTGGCGTTAATCGCGAACCGTGTCCATAAGCCAACTGCTCGGCGCTCATATTCTCCCCTCTCGTAGCTTCTGCTGTTCCTTCTGGTATTGAGGTAGCCGCACAATATGAGCGAAGAAAAACTCATTCTGTCCCACCATATGCGCCGGCGGGGAATCAAACCCCGTCTCATCGATGATGGTCGTGGCACTGAATCTGTTTCTTGATATACATCGACCGGTGCTTGTACCCTTTTTTTCAAGCCTGCACATCCATTATCATGCTCCCCCGGTACGTATGAGAAAGAAAGAGACGCAGCATTCCGCCAATTCGACGATGGTTCAACATTGCTTCCGCCTACAGCTTGTAGTGTACCGGATTTCATCTCTTCCCTTTCAACCATTTGGGTACTATAGTTCACAACGGCGTGCAAAATGACATACAGTTGCAAAATGTGGCTCGCTTGCGCTCAGTTTTTGCCCGTTTGCCTTCGGAGGTGGCGCAAATTAAACCGACACATCTTTACTATTCGAGTATGAAAAAACATCCATATACTTTGGCCAAGAAGTGAGTGAGCAATGGGCCGCAAAGTGCGAACTCAGTTTGATCGCTGAGATGTCAATGAATCGCGCCATCAAATGATCAGTCGATTCGGCATACTCATAGCACTCAGTTCTTGGCCCATTCTGGCCATTCTGTTTAGATGGTTCAGAACATGCCGTCCGTAGGATTCATTTGGGCCATTCCCGAAGGCAAACAGACCAAAACTGAGCCCAGGCGAGCCACATTTTGCAACTCTATGTGATTTTGCACGCCGTTGTGAATGATAGTATAAGCCCAATCAGCATGGTTGGCTGTGGCAAAGGAAATCAAAAAAAAAAAAAAAAAAAACTTAGCGTGCGTTGCCTATGCACCGGCGGGGAGTCGAACCCCGTCTCACCATTATAAAGAAGCATGACAAGTCCTCATCTTATCGGTGCGTGTCCCACATACTACCGGTGCTTATGACCTTTCTTCTCGATTATCTAGCTACATGCCCGTTCTGCTCTCCTACATAGTAGTGATGAAAAAGAAAAGACGCCGATTCATCATTCGAGAATCATCGCTCACGCCTACAGCTCGTAGTGCGTACCGGTGTTCATCTCGTCCTTTTCAACCATTTCAGTATAAACCCAATCAGCGTGGTTCGGTATGGATTTGCCTGGAAAGAAAAGAGTTGACACAAAAAAAAATAGACACCACATTCGAGCATGCACCGGCGGGGAATCGAACGCCGTCTCACCATTATAATTCCAGAGGACATCATGGACCCATCATATGGGTGCGTGTTCCATACACCAGCGATGCTCACACCCTCCTTCTCACTTCTTCATAGGCCCGTTCTGCTCTTGGTCTTATTCGCCAGATGAACGATCCGACGGTGGAACCAATTTGAACCAACCTCAGCTGACTATGATAGAGCGGCGATGAATGTTCAGTGAAACTGGAATGCATCCCCTCTTTTAAGTATTGTGCTACAGAAACAATTCTCACAAGCGGTGGAGTATGGTAACGAAAACACCAGCGGAGGCCGAATGCAACCCATCGATATCTCACCCTCTCAACCACTGCACAGCGAATTTCGCCCAGTGCGTGTTCCATACAACGATGTGAATACCCTTCTTTCAACGCTCCTGGCATTGAGACACGGTAAGGCAGAAGAAGAAGAAGAAGAATGGCACCTTGAACAACATACAACATAACACTGGCGGGGAATCAAACTCCGTCTCACCATTACACCGAATCAGGAGCAAAAATCCCCTCCACCTTCAGCACCTACATTCTTCACTCTATGGCCTGTCTTCTGTTGAAAACATCCTCAAATTGAGGTGGCTCGACCCGCACTTCGAAAGGCGGGCCGTTTTCCTTCAGCTAGTTATTCAACATGCGGTTGGGTTCATCTTCATGTTTGCGACGTTTCCCCAAACCTCTGTGCTGAATGCTCAAGGTAAGGAGTGAGCTGCACACCCATATTCAAGGCCTGGTGACGGAACGCACTCTCTTCTGATAGCATCTCTCTAGTTTCCATCTAACGAGGGGTTCCCTTGTTCGAATCAAGGCCAGGCCGTTCGGCTTTGTTCAATCCCCTTTTTGGCGGGTTCTGGCTTCTGGGCCCGCTTATTATCTCCAATCTCCGCCACAGATTCACGGGCAAGGATGAAAAGGCTGAGAAGAAATGGACGGATCAGACGCGACGCGTTGTTGTGCCCTGTTTGCTGTACTCGTGCTTTCTACCACCATCACTGGCAGTGTCAGACCACTGAATCTCAGTATTCCTGTCTAGAGACTAGCCGTCCTTCTTCGGGCACCTATGGCTAGGTCGCTGCAGCTCTCGAGCTCTCAGTCGTCCGAGCAAACGGGATCCCCTTCTTTGAACCGCTCGAGAAAATTAAGGCGGCGCCAGCTGTGCCAGCTCTCGACCTCTTGGCTGACCGCGACTGAACCTCGCTCACCGACATCGTTCCCCGCCCCCGATGCTCCATAGTGTTCAAACGCGTCTCCAGCTTATCGCGCTGCGTTGGTGCTGCGTCAATGCACATTCTTTTGGAGTCGCCATTAATGCATTGCCGCCTCGCCCGCGTCGGAAAGGAATCTATTTTAGGTGTGCATGATGCCCGATGGCTGGATGCGACGTGTTGTTGTGCCCTGTTTGTTATGCTCGTGCCACCAGTGACCACCGCGCCACCGCACGCCGCCGCACGCCGCACGGATGTGCCCACAGTCGGGAGTGAAGCACCGGTGAAGGTGCGCTGCCAGTACCCTACGCCAGCGCCCCCGTTTACTCTTGTCTCTCTGCATGCATGTGCATTCATACGACGTCGACGCGCGCGGCAAATCGTCCCTGACGTCCTCCCGGTCTACCGCTACCGTCTACCCATCCCATTTCCTCCCCTTCTTCTCTTCCTGCTGCCTGCCCGTCCGTGTCCGCCCCTTCTCCATCCACGTTCTCCTCCCCCTCTCTCTCCATCCTCGTTCCCCATCTCCCCCCGCCCTCGCTCATAGTACGAGGACTGGTGCTGGGTCGCGTACTTGCAGCAGCGCGGTCAGGTGCGACAGCCTGCGATGCGGCGATCCTGCGGGGAACAGGGATGAGGTGCATCATGGCGCGCGGTCTGGGGACGTGCGCCGTCGACTGCTGGCGGGGGTCGAGGCACGAGGCGCGAGCCGCGAGTATGGTATCTAGTGCGCACATCGCTGAGGCGTACGAGGACATGGGCGAGGTCGCGCACGCTCAACGAGCGACGAATACGTGGGGACGACGTGCCGCTTGCTGACGGTGGCCCGTAGCGCGATGAAGCTGAAGGCAAGCGACCGCGGAGGGGCGGACGTGTCACAGGGGGCGGGCGCGCAAGTTGCGGGCGTACGATGGCGCATGTGCGCTTCCGCCAACGGTGCAACGGTCAATGGCCAATGCGGAGAATGCATCACGTCCGGGGATGGTAGTATGACGTGCGCGTGCGGGCCCGGGGATATTGGTGTCTGGCGCTGCACAGGGAAACTCAAGGAGAGCGGCCGCGGAGGAGGGGCGGACGTCGTGCGAGGTAAAGGAGGAGCCGCATCGCCTCGAAGGCTCAAAGCGCGCGTAAGCCGGGGAGGCATCGTGTTTTGTGTTTTGTGGGACATCGGCCTTGACTTGCACGCAACGCGGCGTCGCGGATCTTCTGCGAAGCACTTGACGCCAATTTATCCAAACTCTCCCCTCAATCAATATCTCAGATTCTACGATGTTCTACCTCAGACTTCTCCAGTTTTGTTCGCGTTTTGTATCGGGATCTTCAAGTCTCGATGTAACAATGCGCAGTCTCGCGCTGTACTCCAATACACCATTGGTCTCCCTCCCCCTCTTTTTCACGGCGCTTCTCCTCAACAACGGAATCTCTGTGATATTTTTTCCAGCACTTACGCCCAATTCTCCTGGACCGGGTTTGGTTTCTGTTTTCACTGTCTTCTGTTCAATGTCTCCACATGGTTATTTTATTTCAGGTCGAGGTCAAGCGATGACGCGGTAGGGGACGCAGCCGCGCTGGCGATTCGCGGGCGCACTGCTGCAGGGGTTCATGGAATTATCTTTTTTGCTCGCGCGCGGGCGCTCTGAATTCTGGCAGTGCATTGTATATGGTCCGTGAGCGCATTTTACCATTCCCCTTGATCCAAATTTGGCTCTTACTGGTTACTTATCGAAAATTTGCTGTCTCGCAACGTCCTTCCGATGGCTATGCCAGTGGTTTGCACTTAAAAAATGGAGTTTGGCGGAGCATGCGCCGGCGGGGAATCGAACCCCGTCTCACCGTTACAACTCAAGGCTCAGTACGTCGATGAATCATGGCGGTGCGTGTTCCATACACTACCGATGCTTATGCCCTCTCTTTCTGAAGTGCTGAAGTACGATAAATTCTGCTGCAGGAAAACAATCCATCGTTGTAGCTCAATGCACCAACTGCAAATCGCGAACCCTCGAAGCAAGATGGCCGATGCAGCGGTGCTTGTTTACACCCTTTCCTGTGAGTCTGGCTGTGAGTATGATATGTTCCAACGTGAACGTGGACGCATAAGTACTCCCAGAAAACCAAAAAGGAGGGGTTACACTGCGAAGACATCCACCGGCGGGGAATCGAACCCCGTCTAACCGTTATATTGAGTCAGAGCCTGACTGCATTATATTGGTGCGTTTTCCATACACCACCGATGCTTATTCCCTTCCTTTTTAATGCTTTATCTGTATGTATGGTCGTTCCGCTCTCTCAGCGGGAATGAAGAAAATACAGACAGCATCCGCTGATTCAACAATGCGATCATGACCGAAACACCATCCGCGGTTCAACGTTCAACGTTCACAGACACATGTGCTACTCTCTTAGCAGGTATGAAAAAGACAACAAGATAGCCGCAGCAATT